GTTACAACATAGCAGAGAGAATTGTGTGCTTTGTACAGCTTAATTATAACAGTTTATCCGTATCATTCAACAAATAATAAAAGCTTGCCAAGTCTAGATCGAATCATTCTTGTCAACGCTGGCCCTATTAGCATAAGAAGCATCCATCCTAAAATTAGGATAGATAGCATTTATAACCATTTTAGTATATGAATTTTGTATTCTTACTTCACTAATTATTTCAAAAGTATTTTTGTTTATTGATAGTTGTCTTACTTCTAACTCCCCATGTGAGACCCAACTCATATAACCAAAAATGAACCCCTGATAATAAAGGTGCTCACAGATAGCATACACTTTTAAAACCTTTTGATCTCACATTGGGCATAAGAACACTTAACCTTCTCATTACTTATAAAGTATGGTTGAGAAAAAGTATATGCAATAAATTCTTTCACACCATCACAGAAGTTTTGACAAATGTATCCATTTATATCTAAATAAGAATACATCTAAGAGCAATCTCTGTTCATTTTTTTAACCTTAATGAATCATCATAAAGGTTCAAAAGATATAACTCTTAGTATTTTAAATTGAAATATAAGTAGTTAAAGTCCTATAAAGTGTTCAACCTTTTTATTGGTTAACCATATGAGCAATTATTGGTACACTTTACAAAATTATCTAAAGGATAATATGAGATAATTATTGGTCTACGTAAAAAAATAGTCCATCAATGGCACAAAAAGTCTTAAAAAATTCATCATGCATACCACAAAGACAACATTTTTGTAAACAATAACAATTTAAGAGTATAAACAACTTTTAAATGATTAACTAAAGCTATCTAGATGACCATATATTATAATATTGCCTTTGTAGGACACAAAAAAGTCTTAAATACACTAACACCTTCACAACCAAGTCCAATGTCCAACACAAAAAAAATATATTTTTAGTATAAATGACTGAAAAATACCTCAAATATTGAACTTCTCAGTGTAGTTCAAGGTGTTGCAAGAGATTTTCTCTAAAGTACGTCTACAGAGCTTATTCTACTTTCAAAGTCAATGGAATGGAAAATAATAAAGGTAAGTATCATGAAAATGAATGAAAAAAAGCATATTCATTAAAAAGAAAAGAATGAAAAGCATGGATGGTCTTCCTAAATATATGAATTTGAGAAAGGAAATCACAAAGAAAAAGTATTTGCTTCATGTTTATAAATAGATATACAATGAAAGATGTCAAGAGCAGGCTTTCCCACAAGTAAGTTTATAACTTTATATGTCTAAACATGGCATCGATATCTTAATCAGTTCAACAAATTTTGATATCTTAAATTTAGTAAACTTAGAAACTATACCATATTTGCACACAAGTCTCTTGCAAGTGCATAGTTTTCATTGAACAAAAAGGATCCTTAAGTAAAGGGAAAACAAAAAATTTGAAGTATGGTAATGAAAGAACACAAAATGAAGTTTAATAAACAAAATAATGCGAAATGAAAGTAAAAAGAATATTTCATCACAATTTTAAAAAATAGGTAACTAAAAGTAAGAATAAACTTTTACTAAATATTAATGATTATAAATTTGATAATAAGCCTTCATAACAGTGGAAAATAGATAAGTGGAGACTCGATAACAATCCACTGTCTTAAAAAGACTAATATTTCTTAAACAACAAAACTTAGTTTGTAAAACTAGTATTAAACAATTAACTTCAAAGTAAACATACTTAGAATTGCTGTCTTTCAATTATGTTTAATGTAAACATCAACCAGACAAGGCAAAAAAAATCCAATTATAAGTCACCAATAATTAAATTTTGTTGATACTTAGACAACAAAGGCCGCTATGCTTTAGAAAATAAAAGCAAACTTGTATTACTCATTTTTATGTAATTCTTTTTCAGCCTCGCAATAACCAAACCTGATCCTAAACACTAATAATCTCACACAGCGTGGGATCATGTTTAGCATTATCTTTCCAAACCGATGATCCTAAACACTATCCATAGTTAAGCTAATACCCTTCCATATTGATAAGAACAAGATGAATCTAAAGATGAAACTGATAAAAACTATAATGTAGTATAATATTTTCGGGCACCTTGTTTTGACTATTTCAATCAACCCTATCCGTCCATAACTAGCCATTTGCTAATAATAAAGACGAATACAATGACTACTAGCATTTAATTGATAATTAAAATCACATAAAAAAAGCAAGAAATTTTTTTGTGAACTGAAACAGCATCAGACGCATGCACGCGGAAAGAAAGGAGAAACAATACATCTACAAGAGCCAACGACAACGAGAAGAGAATGAGGATGACGGTCGACGAAACCCGTCAGAACTCCAATGGTCTTCTGGCAATAAGAACAGATGCAGAGTGATGCAGATGAGAGGAGAGTGGCAAGGGTCGGGGAGAGACAAAGAGGTTTGGGTTTAGGGATTCTAAGAAAGAAAATAAGAAAGGGATTTGAAATTTTAAATTTTAGACTAGTTGCCGCCGAATTACAGATGAAAATTTCATCAGTAAACAAATTTTATTCTTTTTGCAAATTAATATATTTTTTAACAGCTTTAATTTATTTTTTTTATTTTTTTTATCAAAATTTTTTATCGACAAATTAATCTATTGGTAAAATATTTATCAATAGATTATTCGGTCAGAAATTCCTGCATTAATTTTTCCCAATCCCACCAAATATTTACTTATAAAATACCTATAAAATTATTTTCATTGATAAAATTTATCAATATTCTATCGATATGTTATCGATAATTATTAAATTTTTTTATAATTATGATCCATCGGTAATTCATAGATAAATAATCAATAATTACCAATAAAAATATTTTATCAAAAAATTTTCATCTATAAAATTTCGCCGACGATGATATCCTAATTTCTTACAGTGTTCTCATGGGTTCCCTAGCCTTCTCATTTTTGGACAAATATTATGATGACCGTTCTCTGAACCCTTTAGTATCATCATCCTACATATCATCCTCACCATAGTCCTTGGCAACAAAATGACTAGCCTGTTTTGTGCATTCTTTAAAGAAATCTCTATGGTTAACTCCCTTAGGAAAACAAAATCGCATGAATTATGGACCTGTAAAGCACAGTCCATGGATAAGGGCATCTAAATCTTTTTTAATTTCCACCATTAATATAAACACATAATATGAGTACAATATGATACAGATACGATGATACGATAATTTTAAAAAAATAAGATATGAATATGACAAAACACTTTAATTAAAAAACTTTTTATATATTATAATTATCAGTTAAAAATATATATGTTAAATATTGGATTGATCTTAAAAACTATTTACGTTTGCAAAAAAAAAAAAAAATTATAAATACAATAATAAAATAATATATGGTATTATTATCTATACACGAATTGTCTTTTTTTTTTTTGTTTATTTTTATCTTATCCAACCAAATTTATCGCGTATTTTGACATGTTGCAAGCATTAAAATGTTGGATACAGATACGACGTGGGTATTTGAGGGATTCAGAACTGTCTATGTTTCATAGATTTCCACCATGATCATAGACGTCATGGCTGTCAAAGCTTGAGGTGCTTTCCCAATTGCAGAAAAAGACATGATTATCAGTGGAAAACTAAAAGAATCATAATTTTCTTCCAAAACTATGTACATTAAAAGAAATTTTGCATTAAGGTAACACTATGCTTAAGCATGGTCATAAAGAAAAAGGAAGCAGATTAGCCTTTCGGCCTATACCTGAGGAGCAATGACAATGAAGCCATGGGAAGCAACAAGTTGAAAGAGTTGTAAAGGACGTAACCATGTAAGAAATGAGTAATGGGAGTAACCATGTAACAAATGAGTAATGGGAATTCTGCTGCTTCAGAAGTGGCTTTAAGCAGTGCAGAAGTGGTAACTGAGTCCACCTTTTGAATTATAGTGATGTAGCTTCCGAACCCAAAAACATTATTTGTAGCAGAAGTTGTGAAGCAGATATGTCTTCCACTCTTTCTTGCTTCTGCTGCTTCATTTACTTCATTCCTTAGTTTATTCGTTGTTTTAGATTTATGGGATTAATGCATGGGATAAGTTTCTTGTATGACATGGACACCTTTCGGCCTTCACCTTTTGGTAGCCAAGTGTTGAGGTTGCAATCCTTACGCTCTACACATTTTGGGAAGCCAAGAAAGGCTATGATTTTAGCTTCTTTGGACCCTTCTTGTAGATTTCCTTCTGGTGCTTTTTGTTTTTGCTTTCGTCCAGGTTCATTTGCAGCACTTCCCTGATTACTTGATTTAATTTCCTATACTTTCATTATTTTCTCTCGACTGTCTTCTACTTGTCATTTTGCTAATTGTTTCTCTCCTATTTCCTAAGTTCTAAATTCTGATTCAATGGACACATCTTTTTAACTCTTGGAAAGCTATTGATGATGCAATGGCATCACTTGCGTTGAGAGGATCAAACTATTTGTTGAGCCAACAGAATCGGATCTACTCTTTGGACTAAAGTCATAAACATCTTAAAAATTAAAAATTAAAAAATTAAGAAAAATTTTATCTTAGACATTTCCAAAATTTTTTCCTCGTACATTTTTTATTACAAAATTAATAAATACGATGAAAGCATCCCAATCGAGTTCTAAATAAAACCTACATCTAATTAAGACAAAGGTAATTAAAAAAAAAAAGGCAAAAAGCTCAGCTCACATGAATGTATTATATATAATAAATCCCATAGAATCAGGGTTATCTTTAACATCTCCAACATCATTTTTTTCATCAAAATGGGATTCCTTCCTTCTCTTTTTGACCATCCCCAGTCCAAGATTACCAAAATTTTCTGTACTTAACAGTGAAAGAACGGAACTTGGATCTCATGGATTTGGGTACTTTGATGCAAAAAACATCACTCTTTCCAGTTAAAAAATAAAGAACAAAAGCCCACAAACCAATTTGGATTTAACGTTTTCTTTAATTTCAACTTTTTTTGCGGTACAAATAATAAAAAATAACAGCCCATCAAATCAATCCAAAAATCTAATATTTTCATAGATACGTTTGATCCTATACCCCCAATATATCTATACCCTTTTTTGCCAGATTCCCCCCCCATGTAACCAAAGCTTCAAATTCTATTTCTGTTGTTCTTCTCTGCAGCAATGGAGAGGAGCTTTGACACACCCTGAGTCCAAATATCATAGTCTCTCTGGTTCCTGCACTCAAACTCTACAACGCCGCGCATCACTGTCTTCAATCCAAAGTATCTCCGGTTCTCTCCACCCTCGAGCAAGTGGCGGCCGGGCCAGGCTGGCATATTTTTAATCACCTCCAAGACCACATCTGCAGAAAAATTCAAAAGGTGATGAAGATTAAGATTTAAGACAATCACTTTTGATCTTCTTTTACTTTAGTGCCTCTAGCTTTCTCAAATCCCCATATGGAACAAAAACTCACATCCATTTCTGCATTCACATTATTAGACAAAGACAAAAGTAATGACTTACTCTTTTTCTTTTTTGTGATGGTCCCAGCAACATGTCTACTCTTCATCTTCAACATAACCTGAACAAAAAGAAGTTTCAAAAGAGTTAAAGAAAGTAAAAAAAGAAGCACCCGGAATTTTAACACTAACTCCTACGACCCTTTCTCCTGTTTCTGCCTCTTTTGTAAATAAAATAAAAAATAAAAAAAAAAAGGAAAGCAATCGGATCAATTTTATCTCATCAGGTTTTTATGATTTTTTAAATTTTTGTTCAAGACATTTTACCCACTAAGGTTCACACTCTTAACATAATCGAAACAATTGATTCTCCAATAATTGAGCAATTTCATCTTCCATAAAAATATATCAAAGAAACATGACTGTGAATAAGAGAGCCACACCTGATTCATTCTGTTTACGTAAACAGAGACAATTTTCAAATGAAGATCACCTGGAACAATCAGAACAATAATTTAACCATGACTGTCAGTGTCACATTTGAAACTAAATTGGCTTACAAAAACAAAATAGGAGTAAGGACAATGAAATAACTTGTCTTCCAATAATGTTCAAACTGTCTATAAAGGAAAGCATATGCCAATTTTGAGCCAAACTCAACCAGAAAATTAAAAAAAAAAAAAAAAGGAAAATATTCTCCTCGTTATCCCAATTAAATTTTAAATAAATTTTCGTACAACAATATGAAGAAACAATAGGACATGCATCAAGGAATGTCACCTTTTCGAGTGCGCTTGAGAAGCTCACAACCTCTAGCGAGCAATTCCCTACTGCAAATTCCCAAGAAATTCCCTTCAGGAACAAGCTCCCCACTAAAGCTGCCATTAGAGTTGCCATTGCTCCCATTGCCAGCACTTTTATCCACAGGAATAACAGCTGCTATGTTCCATACCTCCTTCAGGGCCCTTGCCTTCAGGGTGGCCGCTCCTCTTAATGCTAACATGAGACCCCATCAATAATTTTCCGCAATTAATTCAACCATTTCATGTAAGAAATGATATATAAATGTATTGAACAAAACTAAATTTCGTATTCTTAGATGTTGGATTATCATGATATACCTGTTGCTGCCCCAGCGGTTAAGGTCATGATATCTCCAGCAGACCGGACATTGACTGCAGAGCTGATCAGAGAGGCCAAATGATCTCGCTCAGCCCCCATGGCTTCTGCCGCCTCCACACATTGTGCAGCAACAAGGGTGGCAGCTGATGCCACTGCCATATCCGTCTTTGCCATCTGCTCATCCTTCCCAGCACTGGAGGAGGTAGCAGTGGCTGCCGCGATAGCTGCCACAGCTGCTGCAATCCTGGCAACAGAAATAGCAGCATGTATCTGAGCATTATGAGCCCGTGTTTCTTCCTTTTTCTTCTCCCTCCTATCCTTCAGCCATCGTCCCACCGTCTTTCCACCGCCTGTCACGGCAGTTGTAGCAGGGATAGCCGTCGCAACTGCCGCTGTTGTACGGAACTGAGTGTTAGGGGAATTACTGGCGCCGCCAAATTGCTGCAAAGGTAAACGTGCGCCGCTCATTCTCGAGTCCATTGTCTAAATTGGGACTCTATCCGTTGTTTAAAAAAAGAGAAAATTGTTCTTTTTATCCATATTAAGAACTCAACATTAAAAAATTATAACAAAAAAAAATCTTTAAGATTATAAACATTACCCACCGCCATTGAAAGGCGATTTTTTCTTCTTTGGTGTCGATCAAACCATTAGACCATTAAATTAAACCTTTCAATTTTTTGAATGGTACTAGCCTCTACCAAAATGACAGCGAAGATTTTGGGGACAGAAACTAAAAACAAACAAGGGCAACTTTGGTAATAAAATTAAATAATAAATACCGGACAAAGCAGAATCACTCCAGTGAGAGGAAGTAGCTTTCTTTCCAAGTAAAACAAAAAAATTCACTTATGTAAAATTTATATATTTTTTTAATATTTAGATTAAAATGATAAAATTAAAAATTTTATTTTGTTTAAAATTAATCATGAATTTAATTTTAATTAAAAGTAAAAAAAATAATAAAACTTATGTAAGTGGATATTTGCTTAAAAAACATAATTCATTTATTTTTTCTCAATTTATTTACATAGAACAAAGTCAAGCAAAAACACATGATACACTCTCACTGTCTTTTCTCGCTGTCTCTGGGTCTGGGGTGTTTTAATAAAAGAGGGCTTTGGTTACAGAGAAAGCCTGAGATTTATGTTTCTAAGCCAGTGACTCAGAAGTTCTATTGGTGCTCTGTTGTTGCCTAAAAGCGTCACAAAAAAGAAAACACATACTTACCATATTCTGATTTCTTTCAGTGGAGTGATTCCCCAAATGTTTTTATTTTTTGTTTTTGTTTTACTAAATTAGTATTGAATGAGTTCATGTTTTAAGGGAAGTAATATGTGAGTCAAAACTTAAAACAAACCTTAACATCATCAATCTCTGAAGGTGAAACTGGAGGACTATCTGTTAAGGAACCACAGCTTTGGGCTCCTGTTAATGGTCCACTGCTATGAGATAGTCTCCCTGAAGTTCTTGGAGATACTTCTTGCTGCTAACACAAAGAACACGGCAGAAAAACTTTAAGTGATTTAAAGGGGAAAAAAAAAAAGAAAATGGAACTTTTAATAGATTGAATTATTGATAACGCCAAAAGAATTGTTTTAAAGGAAACAGAACAATCAAAAACAAAGGAAATGAAAAGTACCCAGATGTTGAAAACTAAAAAGAAAAACATTTTAAAAACAACCTTAGAATAATTTTAAAAAATCTTTGTCTTGACATAGTAGCTCCTGCGACACTCACCGACTGTGACATGATTCTTTCCAAGACCATCTGGGAAGTTTCAGAAGAAGCAAAAGAGAAAGGGTTGCCTGAAACTATGCCACTATCTTCAAGCTCACCCGCTATGTCTTCTTGTATAACAACGTTACCACTCGAAGAACCTTTTAAATACATTTGATGTGAAGCAGCAGCTTGGGAAGATGGAGAAGCTAAAGCTCTTGAAACCTCAAAAGCTGATACACTCCATGATCGTGACAAGAACTCCATTGGTTCATGAGGCATCTCTGGAGGCCTGAACGGTGATGGTTCCTGTTCCGGCCTCCACTGTTCGACGACGGGTTTCTCCATTTCTTTTGAGGAAAGTTTTTAAGCGTAAGAACCGAACTGACTTTTAGAGTGGCGACAGTCGAGGAAATGGCCTTACTTTTTATTGAGGGATGTTAAAGTTGTAATTTTGTGCAATTAGTTGAGGATAAAATTGGAACTACGGGCTTTCTTTGTTTGTAGTATAGAGAACTTATAGAGGATTTGGGTGTCACGCGCAGGATGACAAGTACTGTATGGTAATTAAATCGAACGGTAGGATTTAATCACCGAAAGAGAATGAGTCATTTCTCAGGGTTCTTATGTGCGTTTCAGTATTTCATTGACTTTTTAAAGAATAAATTTTAAATAGCACGTAATTATTTTTTTCATCTATAAGAAAATTGTTAGTCACGTTTGATCGATTTTAGCGACATTTTATTTTTTTTAAGTTGGTTTTTTTATTTAATTCATGAAACATGATTCGTGAAATTTTTAAAATTTTTCAATAGTAACCAAAAAGAAAAACGGGAAAATCAAAACTTTTCTAAGGTTTTTTTTTTTATTATTATTGAGGGAAAGTGAAAATCGTATCATTTGTTCTCAATTAATTATATTTTTATATTATATTATTGCTTCTACTCTCTTTAAATTATAAAATAAATATAATTTTTGTTAGTTATAATTTCAACAATTACTCTTTCTTTATTGTTACTCATAATAAAATTAAAATAAAATTTAAAATATCTATACTTAATATAATTTTTTATAAAATATAAAATATATCTATTTAATATTATTACATATAAAATTTATTCCCAAAAACTCTCAAAAGCTATTTATCACCCCTTTCTACCCTCAGATCAATTTTACCGCGAAGGTAGGTTTACTATTTCATTATGTATGAAGAATCAACATTAAGATAATAATTAAGATCAAAAAATTATCATTATTGAAAATATAAAAAAAAAAAATTTTAAAATTCTTTATTTTCAACAAAAATAATGTATTATTTATATAGCACATGTTATTTATATGTCAATGTTATTCATATGTCATCAATAATAATATAGTAAAAAAAATTTATTAGATAATCTTATATTTCTCTAAATCAATACAAAATCTTACATTTCTTAAGTCAATAAAATTTATGCATCACACAATTCCTTTAAATATTATGTTTTATTAAAAATATTTTATCTTTCGAAATATAAAAATTCGTGAATCAAACGTTCTGTAAATATATTCATAAAAATTCACTCTTATTGGAGGATCTTATTCTTTATGTTAATTTAACACTTTTTGGTATGTTTCTCATCTTCAATTTTGAGTATAAATGAATAAAATATAAATGAATTTGTTATACTCGTACTCTATTTGTTTAATTAATGAATTTAAAATATTATTTATAATTATTTATTAAATTTAATAAATAAATAAAAATTGAGTTTATTTAGGAATTGTTTATCAAACCTTTGTATTTGTTTACATCTTTAATCTTAAGTTAATAAATATATAGTTAAGGAGATAAGCAAAACTTTTATAGTAATTTATTGTAAGATGTATATTTAATCATTTTTTTTATAATGCGATTTGGAACTAATTTCTTTGTGAACGATTTTAATTTATTAATTATATAAAATTTTTCTTATTGTTAAGTAAATACAGTTCAATTTTATATGCCTAAGTAGTAAGTAAAATGATTTATTGCTAGAGAAATGAAACATGACACTTGAAAACATAATTTAGAACCACTTCCAAACATTAAAATGAAAGAAAAAAATGAAATTAATGAGTGTAAAAATTCATTATCTAATTAATTTCCGTCAATTAAATTTGTTGCACTATACTTTTTGGTACATTAATTTCTTTCATTTATGGCATAGTGAACCAAGTTAAGTTAGCACAGTGCAAAGCATGCAAAAATACTTTTATTACTGTATAACATTACATGAGAGTACGGTATATATTATTTTTTTACAATACAGTTTACCTATAGATTATATGAATATTAATGGGATGTTAGTTAATTTCATTTATAAAGGAATTGTCATTTGCAAGGTGTCCTTTTGCATTATTATTGACCATGTGCAACTAAATTATTTTTTTTTTCTTAATTTTTTAGTTTTTCTCTTGTTCCTCTTTGGTTAGCTTTCCATTAATGACGTGACAAATTTTTAAATTCAAAATCTTAAAAGAAAGAAAAAAGGGAATTTTGGCCGGTCAGATTTGTTTTTTTTTTTTTTTTTGATAATTTAACAAATTTTAGTTATTTGGAATTAATTATTAGGATTTTTTTTTTGTAAGAGATGTTTTTCATTGGTCTTTTGAAAGGTGTTGCTTAAAAAACTCAGCTGGAGCATCCTGCATTAATAATATGATTAATTAATTGTTTAAAAAAAACGTGAGAACTATGTATTAGAGTATCACCACAAAAGTACTTTCAGAATAGATATTAAAAGGGCAGAAGCATTAAAGAGATAAAATAAAAAATTAAATTAAAAAAAAAAAACCAAAATGTGGAATATATGTTTAAAGCTTCGGTTTGAGAAAGCAATTATGTAAGTGGAATCTAGTGAAACTTATAATATTGCTGCATGTAAAATGGAAAAAACACATACAGCATAGTTGCAAGAAAAAATAAACATGAAAAAATAAAATAAAATTCCTAGTTGTTAAAAGATGAATGTTAATATCAAAGCCATTTTCTCATGGGCTCAAATTTTTATATCAATAAATTATAAAAACACAGAATTAAATATTATAATATAGTTATCATGAATTGATACTTAATATCTATATGCATTTTATATTTTAGTAGGCACAAAAAATGTTTGTAAGTTTATATAAATTTAAAATAATAATGGAATATCAAACTATAATTTAAACTATGTTTAATCTACCATTTATTTTAAAATTACAAAAATAAGAAAACATAAATTTAATAATTATTAAACTCTTACTCATAATTCGTGATATCATTTAATTTAATTTGTTTATCATTTAACTATCATAATATTTTTATTATTGACATTTAAGATTAGAAAAAATTCACATTCATTAAACCATGCTACTAATTGACCATTTTAACATTTCAACATTTTATCAATATAATAATTTTTTAATTCATCAATTATTATTAAATTTGTAAAAGAATACTAAATATAACAATTTCAAAACAAATATTAATATCCATCCAACACTAATTTGCCACAAAAATCAACATAAAATTATGCATATAAAAATTAAGACCCAACATGTCCATAACAACCAAGACCCAAAAAACCTTCTTTCTAAAATAATTTTTAATTAAAAAATATTATCAAACTTGAAAAAAATCCAATAAAAAATTCCAAAAAAAATTAAATTTCACTATAAGAGACTAAAATACTTAATACCCATCCTACCTTATTTACCAAAAAATAATATAAAAATTACACTTATAAATACCAAGCCTTACGGATGCATAACAAGTAATAACCAACAAACTTTACTCATATAAATGCCAAATAAAAAACTTTAAAATAAGACCAATATAATTAATTACAATTCACCAAAATACCCAATAAAATATCAAATCTCAAACACACTTTATGACAAAATTTTTGCTAAATTGTTTTTAAATGTCAGTTGAATGAGTTGTAATATATAACTAAATAAAAATAAAATTATTACAGTTATAAAATTAAAAGACAAAAAAAATTAAGATTGATGTTATATAGAATAGAATAGATATTGATGATTAAATATTAAAAACTTTTTACAGTAGGTTATTGATTGTTGATACTTGCGATAGAGTTAGAAATAAGATTTAGGATTAGTTATGAATTTGGAGAATGCTACAATACAAAAATGACGTGTTCATTTGTTCTATCATATTATTTATTTTAAATTTAAAATTTAAATCTATTAATCCAAATTCAAGATCCGATAATCAAGTATTTTATTTTTTATAATTAATTATTAAAAGCACTTTTTAAAATTATCATATTAAACAATATAGTTTTTATAAAATTACATAATATTTTTAAAATATATTAAAATTCATAAAATTAATTATTAACTATTGCATTTAATATAAAATAATATTATAAATAATAATTTAACAACTACCTTAAAAGTACTTTATGGGAACTCATTAGTAAAAGTATGAGTAAAATATAGATACTAATCTCTCAAACTATGAGTGAGTAAAATATAATATTAAATATATTTTGTATATTATATGTAATTGTGTAAATATAATGATAGAAATATTACCGTAAAAATATCTAATATAAAAATAAAATAAGTATAATTCGTTAAATTCAAAACCATAAGAATTAATCTTTATTTTTTCTCTTTCAAGGTGACATCTCAAACCATAATTTCTTTAATCTCATCTCACTGCGATCCTTGACTTTTCATTCTACTTCTAGTTGTCATAATTTTAATAGATAAAGTACAAATTTATTACTATAATTATTTTGAGTTCATCATTCTTAAACTAAAATTATTTTTTTAATTGAATATTTAAATATATATTTTTAAATAAAATATATTTTAATTTTAATTGACTAAATACCTATAAGATTAGGTAATAGTATTTATAATTAAGTTTTAAACAAATTAACCGATCAAATCAATTTAATTTAATTAATTGATCGACTATCAAATTAATTTTGATTGGTTAATGAAAATTATTTTAAAATATTTTTTATTTTTAGTGAATTCGATTCAAAAATTAAATTAACTAAAATTTTAATCAAAATTTAACACAATCCAAATATAAATAAAAAAATGAAATGGATCATTTTATTTCATAAGTTATTAGAATTTTTAACATAATACTTTTTATATTTAAATATTTTGTTGGGTAATTTTATTTAGTTTATTTAAAATACAAAAAATTTAGAGTTTAAAATATAATTTAATTTAAATATATTTATTATTCGGTTAACAAAAAAAATTAATCGAATCGATTAAATTAAATTCGGTTGATTAATTTTTAAAATTAATAAATTTGATTTGATTAATAAAAATAAAATAATATAATTCAATTAATTTGATTTAAAATAATTCGAATCAAAATTAATATAATTAATAGAAAGAACATCCTTAAAAATGGAGATGAGAAGGAAATTTCTCCAAGGTGAGGGACAAGGTTGGAATAACGGGATTAAGGATGGGAATGTTGATATC